AAACAGGAGAGAAAAATAACTGCATTTACCCCTCGAAGTGAGCACTGTAAGAAAACGAGAGCAAATGTGGCACATAGCTACCATACTTTCTCTCCTTCATTAACCAGATACTTTTGTCTTTTTTTTTTTTTTTTTTGGAGACAGAGTGTCAATCTGTCCCCCAGGCTGTAGTGCAGTGGCACGATCTCAGCTCACTGCAACCTCTATCTCCTGGGTTCAAGCAATTCCCCTGCCTCAGCCTCCCAAGTAGCTGGTATTACAGGCACGAGACACCATGCCCCACTAACTTTTGTTATTATTAGCAGAGATGGGGTTGCACCATGTTGGCCAGGCTGGTCTTTAACTCTTGACCTCAAGTAATCCAACAGCCTCGGCCTCCCAAAGTGCTGGAATTATAGGCATGAGCCACTGCCCCCAGCCAACAATGGTTATTTTCTAAATAGCTTATTCTGTACGTTATTTCTCCAGCCTCATAACGAAGTTTACCATTTTAAGCTGCGCTCTTTGGTTCAGCTGAGCATGATGATGAAAAGCCCTTTTCCATGAAGAGTTCACGTGGAGCCCCTAGGGCCAGCAGCAACCTAGACCTCATGGTAGAGCCCACAACGTATATGGATGAAACTGTTAGTTACAGCTGGGCTAACAGTTGCAAAGCTACAAAGCAGTGCTATATCATACAGCACCTTTGTGTGGATTAGAAAAGGTGTTCCTTCTCTGAGGGCACACAGTTCCACATGAGGTACTCATCTTGGTAAGTAGAGCACAGAATAGATTCCTACCCTCACTTGCCACCTGAAACAGGTGTCCCTGTGCTGGGTGCAATCTCTACGGTCCTACACAGCAGCACTGTTAAAAAGTGTACCTGGGCAATGCTGCACCTCCAAAGTAGGTCTTCAGAAAGAGGAACCTTAACAAAGACAAACAGGCACTTCACAAAGTTCACTCTCAGAAAGCCTCAGATTTGTTAATATAAATTCATTCATAAACACATCAGGACTACAGGAAAAAAGGTCTAGCAGAGAAGGAAAACTAGCAAATTTGGGAGAAAGGACACTCTTCCATCTTGATGGATAATCAGTTGTTTCCTTATGTTTCCTTAAGACCTTAATCTTTAACCATAGGTTCAGATAGCTGAACCTCAAATGTTGGCCATAAGCTAAAACAATCACTAGCATCTACAGAAGGATGGACCACCTTTCTCTTGAGAAAGACATAATCAGACTGGGCATGGTGGCTCACATCTATAATCTTAGCACTCAGGGAGGCTGAGGTGGGCGGATCATCTGACATCAGGAGTTCGAGACCAGCCTGACCAACATGGTAAAACCCCATCTTTACTAAAAATACAAAATTAGCCGGGCATGATGGTACATGCCTGTAATCTCAGCTACTCAAGAGACTGAGGCAGGAGAATCGCTTGAACCCAGGAGGCAGAGGTGGCAGTGAGGTGAGATTGTACCATTGTACTATAGCCTAGGCAACAAGAGTGAAACTCCATCTCAAAAACAAAAAAGACATGATCCCATGTTTACGTTTGGGAGTTTTACTTTCTCCAAATTTTTTTTCTCTGCTAGACCCTTTTTGCCCTTATCCTAACTTTAAAACCACATACAGGCCGGGTGCGGTGGCTCATGCCTGTAATCCCAGCACTTTGGGAGGCTGAGGCGGGTGGATCATGAGGTCAGGAATTCAAGGCCAGCCTGGCCAAGATGGTGAAACCCTGTCTCTAAAAAAAAAAAAAAGAAAAAAAGAAAAACCCACATAAAGTTGACGCATGTACTTGCAATCTGTAAAACCTGATAAATAACCCTGGTAGGTGGTGGGCCCCTTAGCTAATTCCATGAAAATCACAGGAATGGACAACCTAGATTAAGAGTGGTATGGCATCCAACCCTATATGCTCCACAAAAGAGGTAAAGTATCACATGGGTCAAAATTCCACCCCAGGGCTAATGCCCTTTTTGGCCTTAGCCCACCTGCACCCAGATGAATAAACAGCCATGTTGCTTACAAAAAAAAAAAAAAAAAAAATTCCATCCCAGTCATCCAGGAGTGGGAACAGAGGGGCAGCCTAAGGAAGAGCTGAGGCCTAGGCTAGGGCAAAGCTAAGATAGTGGTTCTCAACCTTCAGCGGACATAAGAATCTATTGGGGACCTTTCTCAGAATCAGATGTCTGGATCCCTCCCTACCTTAATAAATCAGAAGGTCCTGGAGCACATCTATTTTGACAAAGCTCAAACTGACGCAGGTCCACTAGAAAGTTTAGAAATAATAAGAAATCTTCCACACCTACCAGCAGTTCCAAAATAAAAGTCACCCATTGCAAAACTAGGTTTAGCAGGTCAGAAAGGGGTGAGAGAGGATCACCAGCCTGCATATCTTACAGGCTGTGCTGAGCTGGAGCCTGTAGGAGAGGTCCATTGTTACGTGACAAAAACTGTGTTCTATAAACAAATTTTTTTGTATGAGAAAGACTTCAAACATCTGGAAAATATTTAGAATATACTAAATATCTCTGTATCCTACACCTAACATTACCAAATCTTAATTTACAATTACCCGATTGAGATTTTTTTTTGAGATTTTTTTTTTTAAGTAATAGAACATGAACAGTATAAAGCCCTTTGTGTACCCTTGTCTAATCCCATTCCTCATCTTCTCATCCCAAAGACAATCACTACTCTTAATATTCATATTTTTATATTGTCACCACATACAGGCATAGCCACAAACAATATTATTTTGCATGTTTTCAGATTTTACACAAGTGGAAAGATTCTGTAAGAATTCTTCTGACTTGCTTCCCAACTCCATATTATGTTTTTGAGATTCACCTATTTTAATGCATGTGGCTACAGTTTATTTCTCATAGTGCTGTAATATTCAATTGTGTGGGTCTATCTAAAAATGCATGTATTTTCCTGTCGGTGGACATTTAAGCTGGGATGGGCATTGTTGTATTTTTTTTCATACTTATTTTCTTGGACAAGTGTGCAAGGATTTCTTAGGGTATATACCCAGAAATAGACATTTTAGGTAAATGAATATGTATGCCCATCTTCACACTAAACACTAAATACCACTACTCTACGGTGATTGGATCCATTTACATTTCCACTATAGTGCATAAAAGTTTATTTCTCCATAACCTAAATAATACTCGATTTATCACAGCATTACATTTTGCCAACCTGATCGGTATGAAATGGAATCTCACTGTTTCAATTTGCATTTCCCTGATTGTCTCTCAAAGTACATTTTCTAGCTTTCAAGCATTATTGGCCAAATATTTGTTTCTTAGAGTTTTTTAGAAAAATCGAACCCATCTTGTCTGAATTGGGGCAGTCCTTCCCAAAACACCCTGCCAACAGCCACCACAGCTGGAAAGCTAAGGTGCAGAAGGGCAGCAAGAAAACAGCTGACTTAAACAAGGAATCATCTTGGACAAAGGGCCTTAATTAATGCATCTGCTAATTAGTCTTTCTCTTCCCTCTTTTGTCAAGCCTTACTTCCAAGACAATACTGCAGGCACTGGGGGCCTGCATCCTTAGAACAGGAGCGAGAATGAGGGGGAGGGGGTGCTCAAGCTAGAACGTTTCTATAAAAGTATAGCTGTCCTTATTCAAAGAAAAGAAGCGACTGCAGACCGATACATACTCAACCTTGTAAGCTACCATCCACCTCCAACAGACTCCTTTCAAACTCTTCATGTTTGGCACCTTCTTTGAAACATCCCAATTCTTTTCTCTAGACTAGTCACCGTCCCCCGCCCTTCAGCAACCCTTTCATCTCCCTTCCCCCACAATGACTGAATACCCTCTCCTTTTTCCCCATTCCATTTTCTAGCTCCACGGGACCCTCTTCCCTGCCTGTAACACGTTGCTCGCTCTCTCCCTCGCCCCTAGAACTGCAAGTCCTTTCCCCTTGCCTTTCCAAGAGACATACACAGTCAAAACAACCCACCTCATCATCCACCCCAAATAAAAACGGAAATCCCATGGATGACATGCCAGGCAGGCGAGTGACTCGGTCCCAATCCTCCCAGCTTCCTTCACCCTTCACGCCTGGGATAGCTGTTCTCTCTCTGGGAGTTCTCCAAGTGTGGTAGGTCCAAACCACCTGGAAAAAACTCACATGGCCTTCTGTGTCGTAAATGTCTTTACCAGGGCCATGTATGCATTTCTGTATTCGGCATGAACGAAATTCGGGCCATTTACTGAAAAAAGACACCTTACAGGCGCCTCCACAAAAGCGGGGAGGCCTCCCTCCCAGTAATTCCAGCTGAATTGGTTTAGTCCATGCAGTGGTGGGGAAGGTGGCCTGGCAGAGACCAAACGGTCCCCACGATAAGAAGTTTCCGAAGCTCTGCCCTACTCACTCAAGAAAGCCCTCTCCCCGAGAGCACACCCCGCACGTAAGTCTCTCCGGCTGCTGCTCCCCAGGGCACCACCAAGCTCCCAAGCCAGCCCCCTGCTCTTCCGTCCCACCCCACAAGAGACCATTACTCCTAAGCTAGCCCAAAAAGGGCTGAGTGGGTGTGCCAGGGTCCAGGGCCCGACCCCTCCCCTCAGATCAATCTCCCTGGGCTCCCGGGGGCAGGGGAATCGGCCTCCTCCCAGCCCCCTCTGCTCTGGGCCCGCGCCGGCCCCGGGTGGCCCTGGGTCCCAGCCAGGCTACGACTCTCACCAGCTATGTGACCTTGGGCAAGTCACTTCCCCCTCTAAGCCTCGGTTTCCTCCTTCGCCGAACAGAGACCTAGAGAGGTCCTGCCCTGAACACCCTGGGGGAGGGGGCTACCCACCCGGTGGGAAAACGCTTTGTGAGCCGCTCAGCGAGGCAGACGAGCAGGGCTCGCAGGGTCTCCGGGGCCGGACAAAGCTGACCCGGACAACGCTCCTCCCCCTCGACGGGGCTGGACGGCTGTACCACACGCCTCCGGCCCCCACCCGACGGACCAACCCACGCCCCTCCCCGCCTGGCCCGTTCCGGGACCCCGTACCTGTTCCCGGCGCTCGGGCGCAGGCGCCGCCACCCTGAGCGCCCGCCCGGAGAGGCCCGTGGCCCAGAGGGCTGAGGCGGTCCGTGGCGGCGGGCTCCGGCCGGGGCGGCGGCGGTGGGGGACGCGGGCGGCGCGGGGGCCCGAGCTCAGCGGAGCCCGGCCTGGGAGACGACGACTGAGGCTGGAAGTGCGCGGCGGCGGCGGCTGCTGAGGCGGCGGCGGCAGCAACCGCGGCGGCGGCGCTTCCGCTCATGGCGGGGCCGCGAGCAGCGGCTCCGGCTGCGACTCGACTCCGGCGCGGCGGGCGCTGGCTGGGCCCCGGCCGGCGGCAGCAGTGGTGGCGACGGAGGCGGATCCCGCAGGGGGAGGAGGCGGAGCCGGGAAGCGGCGGCGGCAGCGGAGGGGGCGGGGACGCGGAGGGGGCGGGGACGCGGAGGGGGCGGGGACGCCGAGCCGCCGCCGCCAATGGGCGCGGGGCTCCTCAGATGCGGCTCCGGGGGCGGGCAGGCGGCGCCGAGGGGTATCCTCAGTCTCCGCCGCTCCCTGAGGCTGGGAGGCTGAGCACGGGTTACCCGCCGGGAGAGCCCGGCTCCAGGGGCTGCCCCGCCCCTGGGGCGCGGCCGCGGGCCTCTGGGGCTAGGCCTCGCGCGACGCGACCCAACAGCGAGCTGCGCTTGGGCTCCGCTGCGGTGGGGTTCGCGCCCGCGACGGGGCCGGGGGTTCGGTCCAGATAGCCCCTGCTCGCAGCCCGCCCGCCAGACTCCCTCCTCCGCTCCCCCGCACTGGAGCCGCAGTCTTCTCTCCCTCTCTTGGCTGTTTCCTTAAAGTTTTTCCCTTTCAGACACTTAGGAAAGAAACTCTCCCTTCTGTTCTTAGGCTGCGTTTCAGTGATAAATTAGTCCTCGCGGACCCAGAGAGAACAGCTGAGGGAGAAACGAAAGAGATGGAGACGAGCTGCGGTCCCTGAGTCCCAGAGACCATCTTGAATGTTTAGCTGGAGCCAGCTGGGCTCAGCCCTGCATCTCGCCCCTTTCTCTGACTTTCTCTTCCTCTTTCTCAATTTAAATGCCTTTGTTAGAAAACTTAGGGAAAAACATCCAGCCCAGATGGGCCTAGTAAAAGAGCGGGAGGCTGTAAGGTAAGGAAAGGCTTTTGAGCTGTGCGGACGGCTTTCCTATGAGGGGAAGAATTATGCGAGTTGGTGACCCCCTTTGGGCCCTTCTCCACTTGGATGTGACGTTGCTCACTGAAACCATTTCCTCCTCATGTTTCTCTGGCTCCCAAATCAACGCCGTAGAGGAGCAAAATAAACTCAACCATGTGTTAGGGGTGCCTCTAAGTGCAGGCACGTGGGTGGGCCAAGGTGCGGCTAAACTGCTGAGTAGATCATTTCAATAAAGGCTTATCCTTAGCCTTTCCCCACGTACAGCCACCAACTGAGCAGAGAGAGAACGAGCTCTCTTTGAATCTTTGACAACAGACATTTCAAATTCCATGCTGACACTTAATAGGTGCCTGATCTTTCATTCATGCTGGTTTTTCGTCATCACCAATGGGAATACAAGGATAAAAAAGATAATAGTCGAGGACTTCAAAGAGTTTACAATCTCATTGGAGGACAGTGAGGTATTTTTTAGAAGTTAAAAATTTACCTGGAGGCCGGGCGCGGTGGCTCAAGCCTGTAATCCCAGCACTTTGGGAGGCCGAGGCGGGTGGATCAC